CATTATTCTATAATATACTTCTAAGTTATATACTGCTAGATATAATTTTCTTTACGTAGAAGTTTTATTTGTCTAAAAATAATTTATTCACGAATATATAATTGAAGAAAAAAATTATAACCCCGTAAATCAAACAATAAATTGGCTAAGCTTTTATTAAAAAGAAATTATTATTTAAAATTAATTACTATTATAATACTTAAAGTTTTTTTACATTTAATTCAAATTGTATAAAATTAAGAGTTGATAAACATTTTGATAATACATTTATACTAAGCTTTGTGTAATTTAGTATATTAAGTAAATACTAAATGTATATTTTGTCAACAATGTTACAAAACTTAAAAATACTTAGTTTCAAAGTTCTATTATTACAATTACCTTCGTAGATGTGTTATTTTAAAAGGTTTTTATAATATTAATATACATTTCTATAATATATATATATATATATATATATATGTTTTAATTTTTATAGCAATCTTGGATAAAAAGAGCTACATGTAAGTATCAAAAAAAGAAAATAAGTATAGAATTGAATATTGCTTTAATTTCAATTATAAATAAAATAACACTTATATGAATGTAACCATATTAAAACGCTCTACTGCCTTAAAGACAATGCAACGAATGTAGCGTCAATGGTACAGCGATCTGTTTATTTGATAAACTACTTGATAAATATCAATATTTAATTGACATGTACATACGGACCAAAAATGTTTTCTCTATTACTCATGCATTGTCATATTTATTTCGACATGATACGAGTAATCAAATCCCTGCAAGCCGTAGCTCTCTCTTCATTTTTTGCACATCTCCTTTTCTTCTTTATAGTCGTTGTCTAGGACTCGAGAGAATCATCGCTATACAATGCAGAAGTAAGTAACGCAATATATACATAAAAGACAAAGAATTGCGGGAGAAACATATCGAATGTCCGAAACCGAGCTCCTATGTATCACATCTACGTTGGCTACTGCTGTTATACAGAATCAGATGAACCACTGCCGAAACAACTATAAATCATAACTTTCTCCAAAGAAGCAGACAATTTTTTAATGGACTTTCATTAAAAATTATAATTTTTCTTTCTATCTGAATCTAAATCTAAATCTTTCAAGACGTTTACTTATAATATATTCAATAATACTTTACTAATAATTCAAGTAATAGTTCAGTAACATTCGAAATACTCTGTAGCTAAATAATTAAACTATTAATATTTCCGCATCGTACAATGAAATTTTTTATAAAATTACTAAATTAAATAAAATAAAGTAAAACTTTTTATGAATCTAATGTGCAAACGGTATACAATATTTTTTTAACTTATTAATTACATTGTAACTATCTAAATATTCTTAACTATCATTATAAACATTGAGTGACTTTTATTATTCAAATTTAATCATTCAGACTTCTTTACTTTTATTGTTTTAATTTTATTTTTAATTTTATTTAAATCTCATTTACTCTATTAAATAAAATAAACTTATTTTAATTATTGACATAACAATATTCTTCGTAATTATTTCTTTTGTTCTGTCAGTTCCGTACTGATAAGCACCTGTTTTTTTAGAGTACATAATCATCATTAAAAATTATAGTAATTACATTTATATAAACAATATAGCTCATGTATTGTAAAAATTATAATCACGTAAATTACTTTATTTTTGATGCTCCACCTATACATGTCTATTACCAAAGGAATACAAAGTCATGTAATTTTCATATATAAATAAATATTTATATAAGACAGATAAATTCCAATGATAAATTAATTATTGAAATAATTAATAAAAATATATTTACACGTGAATTTTTTAGTTAATATTTATTAAAAACAAGTTTTAAAAAAAAAATTTTAATATATTTTTATTTTCAATTTAACGATAAAATATTATTCAAAATTGTAACTAAAACCATATGGTAATAATTAAAACTTAAATTGTTAACGAATTATTTTTAATAGACGAATGTTCATCGGAAATAAAGGTAATTTTGAAAATTGATGAGAATTTGGCTTGCCGGAAGTGAGATCCACAGTTCAATGCTCAGCTAGGTCATCTTATTCGCTTCGCTCTTTTTACTGTTACACTTGTTCAAAAAATTATCCGAAGAAAGTTTCTCTGCTTTTTCATTTCGTGGCTAACATCTTTTCAAATTATCTTCATATATAGAAAAAATCAAAATCAAGTTATTCATAAAATATAATGGCTGCTTACTTTTTGTCATTTCGTCCCATACATTAAAAGAAATGTATTCCTTTTCTTTTCAGCGTTGAAATAATTTATAATGAATTGACTTAAGTTATAAAAAAATTTTATATAAAACTATTATTATTCAAATTACAATAAATTCTATAATTATATGTCAATCTTTTCTAATCCTACGAAAATCAGAGTAGATTAGAATCATAAAGACTAAATACTTATTGCAGAAGAAAAGAGTTATTATTTGATAAATGTTACAAGCTCAGTAATATATTAATATTTTAACCAACATTATAATATAAAAACATAAAATGGCAACTATTTATATTATCGTTACAATCATATTAAAATATTCTGTAATTACACATAGAATAATAAAAAATAGTTAATAAAACAAAAACAATTAAATATAATGATTATTTATAAAATGAGGTTATAACATTTTTTTAACTATTGTTTACTGTAAAATTTAAAACTAAAATGCACGTGTTGAATTTCAATACAGATCTGAAATTTGATTAGTTGTTAGAAAATTTATTAATAATTTTAATAAAGGTAGAAAATCTGTCAAAATGAAAAAGTAAAAGTAAAAAAAGTTATATTTAAAATAGCAAAGCATAGTAACACAGTACCTGCAAGGTATAGTACATACAAGAAAGAAGAAAACAGTTAAAATTATTATAGTTCTCAACAGAAATAGCAGTAGTGGTGTATTTGGTTGTTTTTATTACTTTCTCTCTCTCTCTCTTTCCCCCTATATATATTTATCTATCTATCTATTTATCCATCTATCTGTCTATCTACATATATATCTGTCTAACTATTTCTCCTTCTCTCTTAAATCTACATTCATAACAAAGCTAGTGAGCATAGAAGCCTCTTAAATGCAGAACAAGATAGGCAGAGCCTCTTTATATTCTCCATCACTTGGTTTCAATCCTAAATTTTTCATTCACAATATATGTGAAACCTATAATAAAGGCATTAAGCTTACATACAAATGGAAGAACGATTATTTCTGTTAACAAAGTTTATAAACATTATCAAATTATCAACAAAAATAGTTAAGTTAATTGGCTAAGTTTAGTTAATGATGATTAAGATTTTTCTTAATTTTTTTCTATGATATTATTAAATACGAAATAATAACTTTAAACTCAAAAATTATTGTATTTATTGAATTCTCCTCTTCTCTTTTTGATTTTTTATCTTATTAAGATTATTTAAATCAATATAAAGTATAATACGCGAATAAATATAGTGCAAAGTAAACAATATATTGATCTTTATCTATTGAAACATTAGAATTCTGACCTTGTAAAGCAAAATAATATAATGACGTGGTATATAAATATACTTTTCTCTCATTTATAAGAAGAATTACAAACGTTTTTTAACAACTGTAAATCAAATATCTACATTTTATAAATTAAATGTTGATTGTATGTGATAATGATTTTAGCTATTATATATTTATGTTTTTCTAAAATAATCTTATGTTGCACTATTTAAATAGTATAATAATGAATGCAAAATACTTATTAAAGTTTAACATATTATACAGTTTCTAACTGAATTAAACTAGATATCTAGGAAATTTTCTTATAAAGATTTTATTTTATATTATTCAATAATGATATAGAGCCTAGATATTAATAATAATATTACAATATCAGTCTAATAATAATACAAATATTATAATAATTTGATGATGATAATTACCTATTCGAAAATTTATTTCCCTATAAAATAATCCTAAAATAAGCCTCTATAGCACTTTGCTCGATTATATGGGCAAAAGATAATCTTTTGACAAGCCCGTGCACAGGCAGCTCATATAGGTGATTGTCGGTAATATTTACGACTTTATTTACGTGCTGCAGTGCAGCCAATGAATTAGGGTAGCGCAAGGGTGTAAGATCAGAATCAGAGAGCACGAGGGTGAAACGAAATTGAGGAAAGAGGGATGGAAGAAAGATAACTCGATTGAACTGTGGAATAGAGAGTGTGAAGCTGGAAAGACTGAATATTGTCATTCTTAGTCGACAGGGGGTATGTAGAGTTATACAGATGAGGTAAGTGCAGTGAACTGAGAAAAAAGACATATGTCGTAATACGCGAATTGTATGTACATGTCACACCAATGGCAGAAAACTTTGAAACTCCACTTTAGTTATAAATCTTTTTACTGTTCAAACTTTTGACAATTTTTTTAATTAAATCCTCTTTTACTAAATAATGTAGTACAATTATTACTTGCTTTTTATTCAATCTTAATACAGTATCTACTAGAAATATCCTTACCAACTAAATTAAAATTGGATATTGAATCAAATAATTTTTATATATTTCATCATAATATTCTTTTAAAACTAATAATGTTACTTAGATATTAAAAATTTAGAAATTTATATATTAAAACCTGTAATTTATAATTATCTAAAAATATCACTTATTCTAAAACAAAAACATAATGAAAATGTAATTAATTTTCTTTTGTATTATAGTTTTTATACAAAGAAATATTTTGAGAAATCAAAGGATCATATTAATATCTTCTAAAATGAACGATCGTTTTAATTAAAAGTTATTATTTTGATATCATCGTACAAATTCATCTTTTATGAAAAAATAGTCAATCGTATATAGACTTACCCTTGAAAGTATTAAAATACTGACAATATTCAATACAATATTACTACTATCGAAACTAATGATAGTATTATACTTATATAAACCTTTATTGGTTAATACTGAAGATCTTTCAATTGACATTTGCAGGCCATGGAGGAGTAAACCAACTTGGCGGTGTCTTTGTGAACGGGAGGCCATTACCAGACGTGGTAAGACAGAGAATCGTTGAGCTTGCACATAGCGGTGTTCGACCATGCGACATCTCTCGACAACTCAGGGTATCTCATGGCTGTGTATCAAAAATACTATCAAGGTAAATATAATATTACACTATACGGATATTTCTATAATTTCGCGCTACCACTCAGCTTTACTTTACAGTTTAGTCACGCTGCCACATTTGAACCACAATTGATATTCCATTTTGTCTAAAGCTTACTTGCGGTATTACATTTTTCTGAAGTTTTAAAATATTTTTCTATGAATTAACTTCATTATAAATTTTACTTTATACGTTTTTTTTAGTTGTTTATTTTATTTTGTAATATATATTTTATTCCATACTATTTTAGTAAATATTTATTCATAATTCTTACCTATTTAACGAGTTTTTTGTAGCGAACAAAAAAAACTTATGAACAAACAAAAAAAAGTTTTTGCAAATATGTTTCGATCTCACTAATTAAGTAGAGATAATATACATTTTTAATATACACTTGTTCAATCTTAATTATGATTTAGTTTCAAGTAATTTAATTTTAATTTTAATCCATTCAACCAATGATTTAATTCCCTTTATTCTTTTATCATAATAATATTATGAATGCAATAGTAGATCATCAATATTATTATAATAAATTTAATATTTCTATTTGAAAATGAAGAGATGATTTATTTTAATATTAATTTTTTATACTTAAGAAAAATCTCTACAATAATAAAAAATATAGCTCACTGAATAATTATTATGTGCCTAAACAAAATGAATAAATTCACAAAATTATCGAACTGTATAGGTCGAGAAATGAACGGTATCACTAAACATACGAACGCTTCGTTGCAATGGACAATGGTTTCGTCTCTTAAATTATACTTTCCCTAACCTTGCTTAGCAAATGACTCATCGCTGCCTATAATATTATTTTTACGACCTATAAAAAAATTTCTTGCTATGCAATTCTCATTTTACAAATAATGATTGTTTAAAAAAAATGTTTCAATTATATAATCGACTATCTACTTCTTTTTTTTTTTTAAATCATCAAAGTTAAATAATTTTTAATATTTAATAATATATGTATTTATAAATAGAATATACTACCATTCTCTTTCAATTACTTTTAAGTCCCTTTTCTCAGTTTATTTCATTATTGCCGCTACACATCAGAAATATGTGCAATAAAATAATATATTCAGTAAACTGAATTAATAAATATATATTTATGTAGTGGAAAGTATTATATAAATGTATTAAAAATAGTTAACTAGTCAAAAGAGAAAATAAAAACTAGGAAAATAAAGAAATAAGAAAAAGCACGAAGGGTGAGGGTGGATAGACCGGAAGGAAGGTCCTGGGTGGTAGAGCTAGTGGTATACGATTTCTATGCTTTTTGCTCCATACCCCATGTTGGTCGTTCAAGAACTTTAGAGCATTTCATATATGACTTTTTAACTAGAGCTGTGTTGATGGGTTCAATTATTCATTCTTTGTAATCCATTCAGCTCGTCACAACGACATTAAAGCACAGTTCGTTCGCAAAATACTTATTGCCTGATTATGTACTGCGATGGACGATATATTGTAGTTAATATCGCATTGTTAATAAAATAAGGAGCGTTCGAAATTAAATAATATATTTCGAAATTACGTGGATATTGGATAACATGAAAAAATATAGCTATAAATCTGTAAAGTACAGCTTAAATGATGTAATAAGTAAGTGGAAAATCACTTTTGAGAAAGGTAAGGAATCATTTAGAGAACTGCTTTCGAGCAACAGTTGAAGGAAAAAGGAATTGCGCAACACTTGGATAAAATCACATCATATTATGTGCAATGAGGACATTAAACGTAGGTAAAGGAAAGCTCGATTTCAAGTGTTGTTGGCACATGTGTTACATGTCCTCGCGTCGTTACTTTACGAACCGTTTTGCATGTGCTACTACATTTTTCGGGATGTGCCTTGGACTTCGTTTGCGTGCCGTTAATTCGCACTTTATGCAGTCACGCGTCGTTTATATAAGTGAGTCAAAGCGGTAAGATTTGAAACTTTTTCCAGGAATATTCGCCACCAAAATAACTGTCGCACCCTTTCCAATCTATAAAATTAGCTGCAAGATTATAATATTTATGAACCAACAAGATGTGTGGAAAATCTTTGTGACTATACTTTCACATTTTTTAGTTCTGACTCCTTACTTGAATCAGACTTACTGCTTCTCCTTTATTGCTTCGCCCTTATTCTTTCTTGCTCTTCTTTGCTTTTCTCTCTTCTCGTTTCTCTCTACTCATTTTTCGCTTCTCACTTCTCAGTTGTCAGTACTTACTTCTCACTTCTCATATCTCATTTTGTATTTTTCACTTCATACGCCTTACTACTTATTTTTACTATATCTTTTAAAAGATTGGACTATGTCCTATAAAAATATGAATTTTAAGATATTGTAATATTTTGATTTATATATATATATATATATAATTTTTTTAATGTGTATTACAAATATATTAAATGACAATAGATAACATTAAACATCTTTTATAAAATTTAAAAATATCATACACCACTGAATTACTTATAATTTATATTTTGTTAATTAGATTCAATAACAAAATTTTTGAGTACATTATTATGTTATATTACATGTAATATTTTTGTTTATTATGGCTTCTATAATCCATATATGCATTTAAGTAATTTTTAGATTCAATTACAATCCTTCAATACCCACCGTGTACTTTCATATATAGAATAACTTTCCAATATTCTTAAAGCTATGTAGAAATCCATAATCATTCGCTATAAAACTATAATTTATTACTTATAAGTTATTTGTGAAAAATTGTGATTATTGTTAATAAAATTGTAATAAATTTATGATATTTAAATATATATTGAAGAATTTTTTAAGATTACATTTGCTATTAGAAAATTCGATATTATAATAATAATTAAATTATATAAATACAAAAATACAAAAATCTATTAAGTTACTTATTTACGTTATCCATACTAAGAAATTAAAATGTAATAAAAAGATGAAAGAAAGAAAAGGGTGAAGAGAAAAGGAATAAAAAACTAAATAATCTTAAGTACATGAGTATGACAAGCAATGACAATTATTGAAGTTGTTTAAATCGGCATTAAAGCATTAGTCCATGAAAAAGTGTCTCAAGATTTGAAAAATCGTACGTTGTAATGGTCATTTCACGCTGAAAAGAGCGAGGTGGACCAGATCGGTAGGAAATGACAACGAGTACGCATTCACTTGCAACATGTGCGCTACGAATGGGGTTTTATGCAAGATATAATCGTTAAATTTTCGAAGGGTCTGTTTCTCACATAATTTATTTTCTTCCAAGCGTTTTCTCGCAAGGTCAACTAAATAATTACAGTTTAATCCTCACTATAATTATATTAAATATAAAAGTAATGCTAAAAAACTTTTGCTATAGTTTTAAACTTCTCTTATAATGAATTTCAAAATATTTGATGACATGTGAATATATAAATACTCTATTTATATATTACTATATATATATATAATAAAAATTTTACAAGTAACAATAATTTTAAGTATTTAAAATATTAACAATGTTTTGCCGAATTTTGCAATTTTCCAAATTTCAAATTTCAAATTACAAAAATTCATAGAATTTTTTAATTACATTTCATTAAAATATATATATAATGGATAACAAAGATGAAGTTTATAATAATAATAATAATTCAAATAAAAAAACACGATTTTATTTAAATTAAGTATATATGTGTATTTAAATAGTTTTTGCTTTTTTATATAAATGAATTAAATCTATGTTTAATATTATATCATATTAAACTTTAATACTTAAAATTATTACTTAAATTAATAACTCTTTAATAAATATTTTTAGTGTACAAATATTTGTATATTAAAAAGCTGATATTAAAAAAAATTTGTTATAAATTCCTATAAATTTTACTTAAATGACAATCAAATTAAAGATATAAATAGAATAATTATGATTACTAAACAATGTAATCAACTAGTTCAATGATAAGTTTGATTGATATTTATAAAGAAGATTAAATATAACGAAAGCAACTGTACATAACTGTTTATAAATATTGTATTGAGATTTTGATACTCCCAAACTAATATACAAACGTACGTGGCTTGGTATATATATATATCATAGATAAATAAGCTGATATTATAATTTTTATGTTATTGATCGAATACTTGATCGATAGTTGATTAAGCATAAAGGACTCCTTCGAATGCCTTTTCTACGCGAATTGCTGATATCACCGCTTTAGAAAAAAGTGACCCTTCTAAATAGAGTGAAATGACTTCTACGAATCTTAAAATTGTTATTATTGCATTTTCAAAAAATTTAAATACGTTTCGTCTTTGAAGCAGCTCTAGTCGCTCTTGTCCTATTTTTAAAATAAACATAAAATATCAAAAAATTATAAGAACCATTTCAAGCTTCTACATTCGACGTTTACAATATTTATTTAATTTGTTACTTTGAATATATTAGTTATATAATTTAATATATATTTTATAATTGTTTTTTTCATGATGAATAATATTTCTAAATATACTTGTAGATACCAGCAAATTTCTTACATAGGTTACATACATTTTTACGTAGATTTGTTACAAATTTCTTATTAAGTAAAGCAATAAATACAACTTTAATTTAATTTACAGGTATTATGAGACTGGTAGTTTCAAGGCCGGTGTCATAGGTGGTTCAAAACCTAAAGTAGCTACACCACCGGTAGTTGATGCAATTGCTAACTACAAAAGAGATAATCCTACAATGTTTGCTTGGGAAATACGTGATAGATTACTTGCTGAAGGGATCTGTTCGCAAGATAATGTGCCATCCGTCTCTTCTATCAATCGGTGAGCTTGTAAATTACTTAATTATTTAAAAATGTATATAATTATATCATAACTGACATTTTGATTATAAGCTCATCTAATCTCAAAAAATTAGAATTAGTACTTATACAACAAGAGTATTGTAAAATAATTAGGAATTTGAAAGTTAATGTGGTAATCTAATGATATAATTTTTGAATAAAATTTTATCATTATCAATAATTTTCTATTTTACTTCTAGAAATAAATCGTAGAAAATTTATTTTTATTATAAACTAATGTAAGTACATGAAACTAGAGAAAAAAAATTATTAGAAATTTAATAATAAGTGGAACCGAATGAACAACTTAATATTTACTAAAATAAAAATAATATATTTCAGTAGCTATAGTAAATTTCACACTACTAATTATTCACTTGCTAGTATATCAATAAGTATAAAAACAATTCTTCTACGTATTTTTGTTTTTTGTTTTAAATAATAACTAGAATTCTAAGAAAAAATATTTTTAAAAGATTTTCATGTTTATTTATTTATATATTTATATGTCCTTTCGTACGAATTTGTCGTTTTAAAGACATCATTTGTGATGGAAACCCTGAATATTATTTATCTAAATAAAAATATTTTACTAATATAGGTAAAAAATCAATATGGGGATTACATAGAGACATAATTTATTAATGCATTCAACTTTAAAAAGTTTATATTCCTAATAGTTTTTAATAACCCTTAGTAGAGTGGCCATAAGTATCTCACGCATTAATCTCAGCCGCTGTTAACGTATTTGCGTAAGTTTACATTAGTACAGAACCCCTGGGCCACAACCCACAGCGATCGAGTTAGTGAATTTTACTCGTGCATGGGAAATTCAATCCCTATTAAGAACAATCCAGTTATCTCATCGCGTTAGGCAAGAGAAGAATAACGGGCAAATTCATAGAAGAGACTGTAGTCTCTGACGGAAGATACGTCATAGATATAGAGAGAGATAAGGAATATAGATAAAACCCTAAGTAGCGGCTGATTAAATCTGATGACATATGTGTATGCACTATATAATTCAGTAAAGTCTCCCTCCGACTTCGTGGGCGTGCAACATCCGAATGAAGTTGAAAGAAAAGAACGAACTGATGCACTACGCACTACGTTGTAATGCAAAGTCTCCAGGGATTTATCTATCTGGCTCTTAACGAAAAATATACACACGTATGCGTGTACGTACAATCCCCTTCGATGCTAGACATAAAAACACTTAAATTAATCGAGGCTATTCCCAAAGGAACTTGCTAAAGGTCAATGGGATAGAGGGTCGGCCACTAAAACTGCCCCTAGAAGTGCCTATAGTACTATGTCAAGTGCATCGTCTAATCGCTGAACGATGGCTCATTGCTTGGATACAGATTATTTCCCTAAATCTTTTCTATAATTTTTATTTCAATCAGCCACAGAAAGAATAATCTATACACTTTTAATCATTGTCAAACAGGGGAAGAAATGAGCACAATATGTTTTGAAATCTAACATTTTGTAAAATATTTGAGGATGTAAAATAAATGAAGTACTAATTTTTTTTCTAATTTTTTTTCTCAATAACTTTATTCACACAGTATACACTAATTTTATATTTGCCTATAAAATTTGTTAATTAAATAATTTATTCTAATATACTTTTAATATTTATAATATATATTTCATTTTGCCAATTTGTTTTTCCAAAATTATATAAGAAACAGTACACAATTTTTTTTACTAATATTAATTTTCATACTAATAATCTTATGATCATTTAATGACTCGAATTATTAATTTTATATTTAATAATTAAAATTAATACCTTAAAAGAAAAAAATATTTAGAATATTTATAACTAAATATAATTCAAACAAACTATGAAAGATGTAAAATTTTTATGAAATATTAAGAATCGGTTACATCAATATTTCATTACAAAAATATTTAAATATAAAATACTGTCCAAAAGTTGTAATTCGTAAAATGTAATATAAGCTATTAGAGATTTACATAAATAACATACAAATAAAAATATTTTTATTAGTAATTTTTTATATATGAATAGTGCAGATTCTTTAGAAATAAATAAAATAATGTGAATAAAAAATTAATAAAAAGATTTAGAGAAAATACGAAAGCGACTGGTACTGCTTGCTTATTAGCTATTTATTATAGTTAATTTACTATACGAGTGAAAATACAATATAAATAGAAAATCACAATGAAGATTGCCTTGGTATTATGACATGCTGTGTATGAAACAACAAAAAAGTGAAGGAATGAGAGTGGGAAGAGTAGTACACTGAAGTCACTGCCTTATTTGTCATGTAACTCCACTTGCATCGCTAACTGTATTTTCCTCCTTCGACAATTCTTTGCTGTTTTTATTCAGATCATAGATAACTAGCCAATAAATTACTAGTTCTGATAATATTTCAGATACCAATGCAGATATTGATCTGAATCTGAAATTGAATAAAGTAGATCATGTGGAAAAACTTACAAGAATATTTGCCCACCTCGCTGTATCTGTATACAAGACTACTGGCAATTGCGAGACTTCAACTTTCATTGGTACTATAGGAAGGAGCAATTTTCAGCAAAATATCTTTCCAAGTAAAACCTCTTTGTTTTATTCACGCAAAGAGGAAAAAAAAGTACTTCTCCAATAGAAATCTTTCATTTCAATACGATTTATGTGCTACTTAAAGGACAAACCATTAACTATTATTTCTAATATTTTTTTATCATTTTTTTCCAATATATTATTAGTAAATTTATTTTACAAATTTAATGAAATAAATTTACCATGTAATATTAAATTAATTGAGAAATGTCCGTATACAATAAGCTTATAGTATACGGAAACATTTTTAATCAATGGTAATACATTCTCTCAATAAAGACTTATTTAGTGTGATTAGTAACGGATGTATAATATAATTGTAAAAATTAAATTGAGTTTAATACATAATCATTTAATGTTTATTTACTTTCATATTATAATATTATCTGTCGAAATTTCTTTTTCTTTTTCTTCTTTATTTGTTCTTATTATTCTAATTGTAGAATAAAACAATTCGTCAAATATATATTCAAGAAATATTCTAATTACTATTATTGTATTATACTAGAACTTTTACAAAATATTAGAATATGATTGATATTATATATATATTTATTTTTATTTAACAATAATTTAACAATAACAATTTTAGAATATCAAAAATAATAGAATAAAAATGAATTTAGTAAATATTAATTTTAATTAATTAAAAAGAAATATTTATTTTTTATTCCTTATATAGATATTATATTTTAGAATTTAATTTAATTAAATTGAATTTTTACATAATTTATAATATTAAAGAACTCCTACTTTGTTCAACTTTAATTACAAAATCCTTAATCATTATTGTATTGCCTTTATTTTAAATAAATGTTATAAAATGTTAATATACGAAATAATTAAAAATTTTAAAAATAAAAATATTTTATAAAAATCTAAAATAATCTTCAAAAATATTAACTTATTGAAATAGATTTGTACATTAATTCAAATTAAAAAATATGCATATTTTTAAAAAATATTTACTTTTACTATAGTTTTATCGAAATTTTATTAATGAAGTAAGTAAATATGGATAATATTAATTATATTATACGTTTATGTACGTAATTATGTATTAGGTATAATTATTGTTGCTGTTCAAGATTTGGTTATTTGGATTATATCTTTAAGTTTAAGCAATAAACGATGTATAAATAACCAAAGATTAATAATAGTACTAAATTTAAATCTTAAAGTAGATAGGTATAAATTTATAATAAAACAGGAACAAATGTATTCTTGCTAAATTGAACAAAGTTGTACACATTTTAAAGGATAATAAGTGCTATAACAATAAATGTTACATAAAAACAGTATAAAATATCGAAAATTAAGCTTATTAATCACTATAATTATTTATTTCATCGCATCGTATTTGAAGTTTAATAAAAATAAATTTTAAGCCTCTACTATCCGTATATACCAAATACATCGGGCTCATAAAAGAAATTAAATAATAATTCAACTACTAATCATTTGAATTCCATAAATTCTTTTTTTAATCGCATAACTGCTTTGTATTATAATAATTTCAGAAAAACCTGAAAGTGATTTATGATTACTTATTTATAGATCCTACAAATAAAATAAACAAATTAAGGAAAAAATTATCTGTTATTTTTTATTATAAACATAATAAATATTTTTTAAAAACACTTTCATTTAACCATCTCATGACGGTAATTATAAATGTACCAAACTTTTTCTTTTTTGTGGGTTGAATTTCCGCCGGAAAAATAAGGTTGATATATTTAAAAATTTACGATCTACTAGGCTATAACGATTACTAGTATCTACGTAAAAAGTCTCCTATAGATACAGAATAGAATAAAAGAATGAAATAATAAAGTGTTCAAAGCGCTTATGAAAAATATCTATTATATGTAGGGTAAAAAAGTCAAATACTAGTGAGGAAACTCTCTACATAAAATTTTTTATTTTATTATTATTACTTATTATGTCTTTCTTATAATCCAAATTTTTTGCAAAAAAAAACCCAAATTGCATCATTTTTATACAATTTTCTAATATTTTCATATTACTGTCGATTAAAAATACGCTTGGTTTTAAGTTACAATTGTATGTGAATTGCATGAAAAATATTATTTACGTTTCTTTATAGTGCATTAATGGTATTTATGATAATATAGTGAAGCATGTCCCGATATACTAAATTATTTATATACTTATCACATGAAACCGTAGCGATTATATTTTTATCATCTCTGTAACAAAAATTTACTATTTAACTTTTTTTTTTAAATAAAGTGTAAATTTGACCGAAATAAAATGAAAAAAATCTAGCAAGCAAACAAGTAGGAAAAGAGTTACATCAATAATCATTAATAAAATTGAAAAATGTAATTATATTAAGAGAAGTTTATGAAATTAAT